CTCCAGCCCGACTCTGGACGGGGCTGCGTGCCCCACGGCCACCTTGAGTGGGGCCCTAAAGCCCTTGAACCCCACGGGAACAGCTGAAAATGATCATCGTGTCACCAAAAGGCTCCTGTTTCTAAGGGGTGGGGGGCTCGGGACACTGTGCCCCGCCCTTTGGATGTTCTGATAGAATGGGCCAGGAGGAGGAAAGGGGGAGGGGATGACCGATTGCCCGCCCTGGTGCCAGATGCCCTCTCCCCCCACCCCCGGGGGCCCAGCACGTCCCCTGAGGGCAAACAGCTGAGAGAGGCGGGATCTGAACGCACATCTGCAGACTCCAGAGCTTACAGGTCACAAGGAGGCCAGCTGCACCCTGAGGGCGTCAGGGGAGAAGAGGGTGGGTGGTGGTGACCGGTGACTAGCCACCACCTGGCCTCGGAGGCTGTGAGCAGGTGGGTGGTGGCCAGAGGTGCTATAGGCGGGGTGGCTCGGTTGTTCTGAAAACCAGACCCTCTTTCCCCTTCCTGCTCCTTCTCTGCTTCCTGATGACCTCATCCCTCCACCCTACATGCTCAGAGACTTCCAGATCCCCCCACTTCGCAGGGCCAGTCGCTCCGGGGTGGCACCTGTCTGTGGAGACAGTCACTCACCAGTTGCCAGCTTCGTGGGTGAGTTCCTGGTTGAGGGTGCCCCTCGTGGCTAAGAGCAGGGTAGGGGAGTTCCGAGGGCAGCGAGGCCTCACTGGGAGGCCAGGCTCAGTGGGACTGGGGTGTCCCCGGGGAGAAGGTTCCCACCGGGGACCCACTTGGACTCTGTGCAGTTGTGTCTAGGCCCTTACTGCAAATCCCTTCCTAGCTGCCGGCCTCAGGCCCGCGGGAAGCGTCCTACCTGATACTCAGTGAGGTCTGGGGGGGTTTTGTGGAAGTCCCTTCTCCCCCAGGCCTCTGCCCACCCCGCCCCGGGGATCTCAGTACTGCACTGTGTGGCGGGGCGCTGCCTGGGAATACCCCTCAGCCCCCTGGCCCTGGGTGCGGGTCGGGGGAAACCTGGCTTTCCTTTTTCCTGGTCTGTGAGGAATCGTGCAGGGTGAGTGGGAGGCCCACAGTTCCAAGAGCGGCAACGAGGACACACATTATCTGTAAGAAATCCGAAAACAACAATCAACCCGGCAGAAGTTGCTCTGTTTTTTGTTAATATCATGAACCCCTGATTCCCAAAAAATGTCCCTGAAAAAAATTTTTGTTGATCTAAGTTCTAAACAATGGCTGTTACTGTTGGGTTTTAATAATATATATGTAAGCTTTGAATTAACACGTTTTTTTTTATTACTTAGCCTTTGATAAACATCCCATTCTTTGTGGGAGTCAGTTTGGAAAAGCCCAGTTGTGCTGTTGGCTCCCCGCGCGGGGAGGGCCGCTCCTGTTCATTTGGGGAATAAGTTTATGGGGGTTTGGGGTCGCTGGAGATCCCTTCGGGTACAGTTTGTGGGTCCCACCCCCGTGGAATTGCGCTTCCCTGCTTTTAAACAGCAGATTAGAAATAAACAATGACAGCACAGCGACCGCAGGGATGAACAGAACTTGACTTACTTCAACTCAGTCATTCTGTGTGACTCCACATCAGTGTTTAAAATTTGAAACAGGGAAGCAGTATGAACCGTGACAAGAAGTATTTACGTTTGGTGAGTACCGATTTTAGTTCATACGTGAAATATTTTACTGAATGTGAACAGTCTTTTTAAGATGAGCATTTATTCTTCTTTCAAAATGATTTTTTAAAATCACACATCAAGAAAAGAATAGCTGTTTACACATCTTATTACAGTGTTCGTTTCCTAGGGCTGAAGTAACACATGACCGCAAACATAGGGGCTTACTGCCACACAAATCTATTATTTCACAGCTCTGGAGGCCAGAAGTCTGAAATGGGGTGTCCCCTGGCCAAAATCAAGGTGTTGGCAGGGCTGCGCTTCCTCCAGAGGCTCTCGGGGAGAATCCTGTACCTTTTCCAGCTTCTGGAGGCTGCCTGCTTTCCTTGGCTTGTAGCTCCTGTCTCACCTTCAGAGCACTTCACTCTAACCTCTGCTTTTGTCCTTACGTAGTTTCCTTCTCCACTCCCAAGTCTCCCTCTGCCTCACTCCTATAAGGGCCCATGTGATGAATGTTAGGGCCCAGCTGGATAATCCAGGCAAATTGCCCCACCCCAAAATCTTTAGTCTAGCTATGTTTTGAAAAGTCCCTTTTGCTATACAAGGTAACATTCATAGTTTCTAGGGATTAGGATATTTTGGAGGGGCTATTATTCAGCCTACCGTAATTACCCCAAATAAATTCATTGTATGGGATGTGGGGTAAAAAATCACCCACTCTGGATGTGAAATGAGGCCTGGGGGCTGAGGCCTGGCACGGCCCAGAAAGCTTGTGGAGAACATGTTCTGTCTGAGGGGAGGGGAGATTGCATTTGGATGCAAGTCAGGGATGTGTATGTGTGTGTGCCCCTTTATGTGTGTGGTTCACTTGCCTGATTGAGTGGTGTGTGAAGGGCGGATGTGGGGCTGTTTGTAGGGCTATAAAAGCTGGCCCGGCTCCAGGGTCAGAGCTGTTGAAGCTCGGCCCTGGTAGGACCTTCATGCACGCATTATTACCACCTGACATGCATATACAGTATAGACCCACTCTGGTTCATAAGTTATTGAGGGCCTACTATGTGCAGGCACTCTTCTGACACTCAAGATTCAACAGTGAACACACAGACAAGCCCTGCACTCATGGAGTTTATATCACACCCATATGTGTTTGTTTATTATCTGTCTCACCCATAGAATGTATGCTCCTTGAGGGCAGGAACTTCTCCTGTGAATTAGCCACTCCCCGAGTGGCAGCCCACAGTGAGCATTTATTGAATGAGTTAATGTCCCATTGGGACCATCTCTGAGAGGTAAAAATTTGGAATTACGGCTCTCCAAGTAGACATGCCCCAACAGATGACAAAAATGGATTTTCTTTTTTGCACATTATTTATCGTGGCAATGCTGTTGCTTTTCCTTTAATATTTCCTCAAAAGTCTTGGAATTCAGTGTATATCGTGGGTCCAAGTTGAATTTCTGAACAACTAAATATGGAAGGTTTAACGCTGAGCCTTCAATGGTCATTCATCGTTTTGCTGACACATATTATGTACCATGAAATCCAGCCAGACTGAAAACATGGTCTTAGAAGCAGTAATTTCCCCCAAATCACTGGATCTGAAAAACCTCCACTTGGCCTTCAGACTTTGTACTGCTTTCTAATGCTCCCCTTTCCCTAAACAAGGCATGTTGCCCCAATACCCTTTGGTCCCCACTCAGCCCTGCTTTCCACTGGGACGGAGAGACAAAGGAGCAGACGGACAGACACACTCAGCGTGGAAGTGAACGGGCTTCTCGGTTTTCAGGCAGATGTCAGTCTCCAAGCAAGTTCAGCCTGCTGCTTTGGATTAATTTGGGGGATCTTTCTGATTCTCTTTTGGCCCTGCAGAAAGGGATAAGGGCTTTATACTTTGCCCCAGCTTTTCCTGTTTCAATTCAGAATCTCAGAGCTGAAGCATCACGCTCCTTTAGGAATGTACATAATCTAGGCACTCAGAGTAGGGTGCCAGCCGCCCTGGGGTGGGGTGTGAAGAAAGCGAGACCCAGATGGAACGCCCGACTTACCAAAAGGCAAGCCCAAGACAAGAGACGGATGAAAGGGAATAATGTTAAATAACATACACCCCTGAAATGGACATAAATTCAGGCTGAGATTCCATCCCCGGGTTCTGATGACGTGAACCACAAGAACAAAGCTAAGGGAGATTTTTAAATGTCATCACCAGGCTCCTTTCTGGAATTACAGCTTTGTTATTTATTATGTACCATGAGGAACATATAATTCCTTATGTTCGGCGTTGCTGGAGTACTTTCAGCTCGGCCATCCTGCTGGATTCCACACCACGTCACCATGTCAGTTTGAGTCCTTCTTGGTAGAGTTGCCAGAAGTGGAAAGAGGATTTTTAAAAAAATAGATGCTATCTAGGATCATCCCAGACCAGGAAAAAAGTGGCAAGAAGGCTGAAGTCCAGGGAGCAGAGTGATGGCAACCCTAGCCTGCTAAGGACCAGGATTTGGGGAGATACGCGTTGTCTACAAGTGGCATGGTGGGAATTTGCTTGCATAACTGTGATCTAAAAAAAAAAAAAAGCCCAAATATGTGTGGCCAGTTGGCTGAGGCTCCAGGCTGAAGCTGTCTCCTGAGCTCCGCATCCCTGAGACTCCAGCAGTGTCCCTGGGGGAGAGGGACGAGTGTGCGGCACATTGGCAAATCTGGGCAGCCCTAGCCCGGCTGTATTTCACCTTTATGCCCACCGAGCTTCCTTCTGCTTTCGGAATGGGGAAATTCAGACATCAATCTGGGCTTTCCAAGAAGTTTCAGTTCCACGTTTTTAGCCCGAGAGGGAGGCACGCTGACAGATTCTGTCCACGTGATGACCAATGGGCTGACCGTGGCTTTCTAGCAACGCTGTAGTGTCAAGTCAGGGTCGCAGGGCTGAACGGGGTGCTTTCTGCTTTTCCCAGACCACCCTTTCTTCTTTCAAATTCGACCTTCTAAACAAGGCATTGCCACTTGGTCATGATAAGGCAGCCCTTAGAAGGAGACCACATTAAAATTGTTATATAGCATGCCCAAGACAACGACCATGCAAACTCAATTCTGCAAAAAAATATTGTTTAATTGATTTTCTTAAAAAAAAATCTATTATGTTTCTGTGGGCCTGTCTATTGATTTGCAGCCCCACAGCAGTAAAGAAGCAGCTTTGTGATCAATAAAGCCAAAGTGTATCTTACCCCGAATCAGTTCTGCGGGCCCTAAGGGGATGCGACCAGCCGGCCTCCCCAGACAGTGACTGGAGTATGAACAACCTTCTCCACGACGGCCGAGATTTATTTCTATTGGCATAAACATAACAAATGAAACCCTGATGACTTTTCTTGCTCTGCAAGCCAAGAATACATCGCATTAGTCATCAGGAAACATACAAGTACACAATTTGCAAAAGGAAAAAAGAAAAGGAAAACAGTGCATTTTTAAAACATCTTAGTGCATTAACTCCTCCCCCATACTTAATTAGGATAATAATTTACACCTGGCTCTTTGCTGGTTTTCTTTTCTATTCTCTGCCCCCTCCTTCCCCAATGCTGCTTCAGATTGGTTTCACAAGTGTTGGAAGGTTTTTCTGCGTCTGCGGTGAATACCAAGTACAGGTGACTGCAACCGCAGGCTGACAATCCTGTGTAGAACCAACATTGCTATCTTACCCTCTAAAAAATAATAATGTTGACCTAGATAAGGCACCTGCAATAACACACGGACGGCAGCTGGGGAAGCACTGCAGACACCATCAGGAAGCATTGGCTACGGAAAGAAGAGCTCCCTGAACCTGATAAGTAATCTTGGCTGCTGTTAATTTCAGAATTTGTCATTTGCATTTTGCCCTTAAACTGGAGGACACTGCCTGAGGCAGATTCTGAACAGATGCTGTGCAAACTCATCCTGCTGCTTTGAACGGATTTAGGAACAAGCCTTCTTCAGGCCTAGCCCTGTGCTGGCCGATTGCCACCCCCTCCAATGAAGTTGATTGGTATGGCTGGATGGGTGAGGGTGCGTGGTGCAAAAGGAGGTTGTCAAGGTCAGCGGGGACCAGATTTTGAAAGACTTTGCCTGAGGGCACCGGGGAGCCAGAGAGAGATTATTTAGAGGGGAGAGAAAGTGATCAGATATGTACTTCACAGCCATCTCTGGCTACAGTGCGGGGCTCCAGTTTTCAGGTCCGCTTTTTGTACACACATGAAGATGTTGATGGTGATGGTGATGGTAGCTAACGTGATGGACCAGGCTTGGCTCCAAGTTTCATTTAATCCTCACACCAACCCCAGCAGGGAGATACTGTTATTCCCCCATTTTACAGACAAGGAAACTGAGGCACACACAGAAATATCCCACATGACAGTGACCATCGCATGAGCCGCACTCCCTTGGTCAGGCAGGTGTGGAGTTCTTCCCTATTTTAATGCCCCCCAGGAATGCATGCTGGATGAGAAGCACCCAAGTGAGGAGCTCTTTAATAGAGGAATAATAACCTTGACTCAGTTCAAATTTGTATTCTAAAAAGAAAATCACTGGGGGAAAATGCAATTATTAGTAAATGATCTCATGTGCACATCTTCCGGCAGGTTAATATGAACCAGTGTGGAGCCCCGGGCAGCTGCGGGGAAATGGGTGGAGGATGGTATACGTGGCAGGGGAGGGACGGTGCCCGCCTAGGGACCCCCAGGACCACCCTGCCCTCCTCTGCTCTGCGCCACTGAGAGCCCAGAACTCATTTCTCGGAGGCTTGGGAGGTAATTCCTTAGCACAGTAGCCCCAGGCGGCCTTTAGTGCCAGAGGGTCTCTGAGCTGCACGGTGGAACCCTGGGCCCCACCCCAGGCTGTGAAGTCGGAGTCTCTAGGGGAGGCCTGGGCTCCAGCAGTTTTACTGCCTCATCTGATTCTAACATCAGCCAGAGCTGAGAGGCCCTGGGCTGACCCTTTATGCGCTTACGCATCTCCCTTAGGTGTAGTGGCCGCTCTCTGAGAACCAGCTCAGAGGAGGCAGAGCCGGAGGGGCAAGGAGAGAGGCCAGGGGTAAGGGGAGGCAGGGAGCAGCCTCGAAGCAAATTCCTCTTTCCTGCCACCTCGTCGGGTTGACAAAAAGGGCCACAGGCTGGGGACCTTTGGTGGCTGTGTGTGTCTGGCACAGAGAAGGCACGAACAGCTGTATACAGGGTAAAAATGGGTGGCTAGTGATAGGGGTGGGGGTGTGGGATGCGCTGGCCACCCAGGCTCCTCTAGTTGATGCTTTCACTGGGTGTGGTCGTGGGGGCAGAGATGGGGAGGTGGCCGAAGATGTGAGGTCTTCTGTTCGCTTTGGCCCTGGCTTCACAGGACACGCTCTTGGAAAATGAAAACCATGTCGGTGTAAAATCAGAGCTTTGACTGAAAGCCAGCCTTGAACACAATTTGTCTTCCGTTCTTTAACTGAGAAGCTGAAAGAGTCTCAGTGTCCGGAGGGGATCTATAAGACTTCTGGTTTCTTGTTCAGCTTTCCAGGTGAAATCCCATCCAAGCGTGGCTGGCTCCCAGCTCTTGAGTTCAGCTTTCTCTTCGGTGGGCTTCCTGGTCAGGACCCCCAGCATCTCCTTCCCAAGGTCTCTTCTGCGTCAGAACCCAGCGTCTCCTGCTGACTGTGACCCCCCACTTCCCCCCTGCCTTCCTGGCCTGGCCCCCATCCCCCACTAAGCCAGCGCTATCCTCCTAAACATTGGACAGGCTCTGACTCTGGATGTGACCGGATGCGAAATGAAGAGGACTGGACAGAGTGGTGAGTTGTTCGTAGCGCTAGATTTCATAGTCACTTAAAAGACCTGCCCTCTATTCTGAGATTATATCCTTTCTACCTTTTGGTGTTAGAAGGTTCTTGGTTTTATAAAATGATGGGGATGTTGGATGGCAAATGCTTTAAAAATTGTACTTACTCAGGGAATAAGGTGGCCATCCATGCTCATTCCCTACTTTTGTTTGGAAGTTTTGCCGCATGGAGTAATCCAGGTGAGGATGCCACAGGGCGGGGCTTCCCCGCATAGGGATGGAATTCGGGTGGAGGCACGGGAAAGAGCACTGCTGTTCCAGAACCCCAGTGACCCTTTTGAACACCTCGCTTTCCACCAGCCTAGGCATTGGGAGGACATTCATCTGACGAACATTGATTGAGCACCTGCTGTGTGAGAGACACTGGGTCCTGGGGATACCAAGACGTATGACACCATTCCTGCTCTCAGGTGGGAGGGATAAGACTAAACGGCAAAAAGTGTCACTTGATGAGAAACAAAGTGCCTTCAGAGGGCGGAACCATTGCTGGCATCACATGTCCCCCCAGCAAAGCCACAGTGTTACCTGGGTTAGTAACTGGGCCTGGAGTTCCCTTCTGTTAAATGGGACAGAAATCTACACCTCAAAGACAATACCTGGCGCTTTTCACATCAATGCATGTGTATATGTCGGCACCTGCCTTTTACGCGTAAACCCGTATCACGGCATTTTATGGTCATTTGTTAGTGTGTAAGCTTCACGTTGGTGGTGAAGATCGGGGAGAGTGATGTTCACAGGTGTGGGATAGGTGTGTCATTTTGAATCTTTAGGGTTAGCTGCAATCTGTGCTTTCTTGTTATGGCTGGTCCTTGTCCGCATATGTGCGTGCTAGAGAGAAGGGGAGAGAGAATGGGTGGCCTGGGATAGAAAATGGTTCCTGCTGACTCACATGATCCGTTTTCTCATTGCCTGAGTTTCTAGCGAGATCAGCCAGAAGAAAAATCAGAATGAGAAAGGGTTTCCTGGTAGAAGAGGAGACCATTTTCGGGGTGTGGTATGTGATTTAAGATTTGGTGCCCTGGTCCTGAGATGGGATGAGGTGTGCTGTTTGGGTACATGTGTGGCTTCTCTGTGGTCCAGCTGTTCCAGGGGTCAGCATGCATGCTTGCCGGCTGGAAGGCCACCCTGGGACAGGGGACACGGTGGTCCTGGGAGGCCCCCTGGGTGGGAAGGGGAGCAGTCGTTGCTGGGCACTTTTGCCTCAGGGGGACACAGCACGGTATGAATGGAGCCCCCGCACCTGGAGCATGCGTCCTGTGCCGGCATCGCTGACCACACCGCGACCAGCTCTTTGTGACTCGGGGCCCGCACACGCCCTCCTGCCGGGCTCCTCTCCGCACTCCTTTGCCTGGTTGGCTTCTCATCCTTTGGCTTCAGGACCCCCAAACCAGGAAGCCTGTCTTCCTTATTCTGCATCACGGTTTCCTCTCTTTCCCCTTCATGGCACTTGTCACAGTTTATTCTGTCGTGCTTGTTGGTTTACCTGTTTCTTTGCTGTCTGCCAGCTGGACTGTGTGCCTATGTCTGGGACAGGAGAGGGGCTCCGAAACTATTTGCTGAAAGATTGGTCTTATTTAACCCTTTCAGCAATCCTAGGGGTAGTGATGATTTTAGCTGCGTTTTGCAGGTAAGGAAACAGGTGTCTGGAGGGTGAGTCACCTGCCCGTGGCCACCCATGTGGGCTGTGGCAGAGCTGGCCCTTGGGTCCCTGCCTGGCCCCCCAACCATGCCTCCTCGCTGCCACCCTGGATCCTGTGCGGGCAACGTCCTGACCCCATGCACAGGCCCCTCTCCTTCTATAAGACGTGAGGACACAGAACGAACAGAGAGCCCACTATTCCTCAGTGCTCTGATCCATCAGAGCAGCGTGCCCAGACAGACTCCCAGAGTGTCAAACACACTGCAGCCAACAGCCCTTCAGCTGACCTGCCCAGCTGGAAGAGGGGCAGTGGCCAGCTTACTGGGGGGACACGACTCCCACTGTCTGCAACTTCCGGGAGTCAGCCACAGGCAGGAGGGAGCCAGCCGGGTTTTCCGGAGACTCCCCCGGCCACCTGCTGTCCCCTTCCTCTTATAGCAGAGGAGCCTGACCAGCTGGCCTCGCCTTGCAGCCTGGGGTCCAGTCAAGGAGTCTCCTTGGGCTTCCCTGGTGGCACAGTGGTTGAGAATCTGCCTGTCAATGCAGGGGACACGGGTTCGAGCCCTGGTCTGGGAAGATCCCACGTGCCGTGGAGCAACTAAGCACGTGCACCATGGCTACTGAGCCTGCGCGTCTGGAGCCTGTGCTCCGCAACGGGAGAGGCCACGACAGTGAGAGGCCTGTGCACCGCGATGAAGAGTGGCCCCCGCTCGCCGCAACTAGAGAAAGCCCTTGCACAGAAACGAAGACCCAACACAGCCAAAAATAAATAAATAAATTAATTAATTTAAAAAAAAAAAAAAAAAAGAAGAAGTCTCCTTATTTTGTCCTTAACAGAGACTCAGATGGCCCTCTGGCAATGCTGGCCTGGGGGCCCGTATCCCCATGCAGGGAGGGGACTGTCCACCTCCAGAGGTCCTTGCGTTAACACAGAGCCTCTATCACCAGGGAGCAGTGCTCCTCCCTGGGCCCTGTTGGGCTGGTTGCTGCCAGCACCCCCCAGGTGGCCATCAGGGAACCCGAGACCCCGGCCTGAGCGCAGCTTCCCAGTCACCCCTCTCCACCGCCTCTAAGCCCAGCACCATTATTCCTACGCTTGCACGGTGACCCGAGGCTGGAGAGCGTGGGCTTCGATGGGGAAGAGGTGGAGGGAAGGCATGCAAGGGGGCTCTTAAGGAGAAGTGGCTCCTGGGTTCCTGGCACTCGTGTTAAAAAGAAAAAAAAGACCATGGGAAACCAGCGATGGAGCACCGAGGGGGAACGTTTCACTGCCCAGCCAGGACCCTGATGCAGTACAGTATCTATTTCAACAACTTTAGGGATGAGGTTCGGGCGGGGGGTGGGGGAACTGGGTAGATCTTTTCAAGCCAAAAGATAGGAACTGTCTCCGTCCCAAGTCTCCGAGTGGCGCTGGCTGGCGAGACCCCAGTTTGGGTGTTGGCCGGGGTCTGCTGAGGATGTGGGGTCTCTGACTCGCATCACAGGGTCCGAATGTCCATTCAGGGCTGCACCGGTGTGAGTGGCTAGTGGCCAGGCCGGGGTTTATGGCTGTACCTATTTGATTTCATTTTATCTTTTTAACTCTGCAGGGTGGACATTATCATTCCATTTTATAGATTGGGGTTGGGGGGTGGCTGCTCAGAGGGGTTAAGACACTTGTTTGGGGATGCAGAGCCAGGGTTTGGACCCTGGGCTGTTCGCCTCCTGGGCTCCTGACTCTTGTGCAGGACGTTCAACCACCAAGCACATCAGCCTCCAAGTCTGCCGGGCTCGCTTCAAATTCTGACTCTTCCACCTAAGAGACCTGGGACTTAGGATCTCTCAGAATTCATTTCCCGCTCCGTAAAATGAGGGAATACCAGTCAACTCTCCTCCAGGTTGAAGTGAGGATTAGATGAAAAAATGTATGTAAAACCCTTGGTGGAGTGCCTGCCTTTACCCGCTCATCTTCCTGGGTTTGGGAATGAGCTTTCCATTGAAATTTTCTTTATTTTTTAAAAATAAATTTATTTATTTTTGGCTGCGTTGGGTCTTCGTTGCTGTGCGCGGGCTTTCTCTAGTTGCGGCGAGTGGGGGCTACTCTTTGTTGTGGTGCAGTGGCTTCTCTTGTTGCGGAGCACGGGCTCTAGGCGTGCAGGCTTCAGTAGTTGTGGCGCACTGGCTTAGCTGCTCCGCGGCATGTGGGATCTTCCCGGACCAGGGATCGAACCTGTGTCCCCTGCATTGGTAGGTGGATTCTTAACCACTGCAACACCAGGGAAATCCCGAAATTTTCTTTAAATAGAGGGGAAATATCCAGACAAATGGAATCTTGGCTCACTACACATGCACACACATTCATTTCTATCTATTCACACAATGTACATATATTCATATATACACACATATTTATATCTATATATATTATATATACACACATATATTCATATATACATATATATTTATGCACACATATACATATATTCATTTATATGCATGTATATTTATAACTGCATACATATACATATATTCATATCTATACATGTGTTTATTATGTATACATATATATCACAAGTTCATATCTATTTATATACTCATATATTCATGTATACGCATATGTGTATCTATGTGTATACACATACATATGCACATTCATATCTATTTATATACACATATACATATATACATATATTCATATCTATGCACACATATACATATATTCATTTATATGCACATATATTTACACCTCTTTATACACACATATATACACATGTGTTCATATCTATCTATATACACACATATGCACATACTCCTTTTGCTTTTCTTTTCTTGGCTGGAAAGTTGGAGGTTTTTACTCCTCCCTAGGAATAATGACATCACAATGACTTTAGAAGCTAAAAGTTCTGCTAAAGGAGAAAGGTTGGTCACTTGCTGGTGTGAGGGGCGGCCTCTCTCCTCTGGTCATGGGCTGGCAGCTGAGAGGAGCCTGCATCAGCCCTCGGCTTATCTTCCCTTTCTCCAGGACTCTGACCTGTCAAATCAGCAAATTAACAGGAGAATGTGGAGAAAGATGAAATTGACCCGCACCTATGAGGCTTAAAAATATGGTAATGCAATTAGCAGCCTTCGCAGCCTAATGAAGCCTCTCTAAAATGCTGATAAAATACGACTAAAGAAAAATGCTTAAGAGCCTCTTCAAACTTTCCAAAATGTGAAGTGCGTCCTTCTGGAGAAAATGGCAATCTAGCCTCCTTTCTCCAAGGTTCAAGATTAATTAGGGGCTTATTTAGTGCATGAATGAGGAAACAAATGAACTCTTGGATCACAAAGCATTGAAACCAATTTTGTAATCTTTTTTTTTTTTTTTTTACAATTACATTCCTATCATAAAAGTCTTCATTAGACGTTGTCACGAGCGTGTGTTGTGTTCGGGAAGTGTTACCACCCTGGGTTTTTGACAAGACCGCAGTCCCTTCCCTTTAAAGAGGGCTCTTATAACAAAAGCCTTTTCTTTCTTTTGAACAGCAAATGGCTGTGGCTTGGAAGGCTAGTCTAGGCTGCAGCGGGGGTGGGGGACATGCAACTCCCTACTAGCCCTCCTCAACCTGGGTGCACCTGCCTTTTCTGTAGGCGTGGCCCCTTCCCAAACGGGACAGACTGATGAGGTGCTGGGTGAATGTATCTGGCTCCCTGGATGGTTTGTTCATTTTTTCGGTCATTTGTGATGACAAGACAGGCCTGGGGAGAGACGTGAGTCCTGCATACCTCTTTCTCCCCCACTGGGTGAAAGAGCCATCGGGTGGGTGGCAGCCAGGGCTTGGGGTGAGACAGAGGCCGCCATTTGTTGAGAGCCTTTGTGTACCTGATGCTGTTCCAGGTGTTCAACAGCAAGGATGGTACCAGGAGTTAGTGATTCAGAGTCCGGGTCTGGGGTCAAAATGCCTTGGGCTGAATGCAGCTGACCACTTCTTAGCTGCATGATGCTGGATGAATGCTCTCAGCTCAATATATGAGTTTCTTCATATATAAAATAGAGGTAGAGATAGTATCTTCCCTTTTCTCATAGAATGAATAAATGAAATGTTGTGTATAAGAGGATTTAACTGAACGCTCAGTCCATAGAGAGTTCACAATAAAGCACAGCTTTAGTTACATCAAAAAATAATGTAATCTACATGACAAAGCCGCAAGGTATGATTTTTCTTATTTTCCAGATGAGGAAACAGAACTCCAGAGATGTTAAGGAACAAGTCCAAGGTCACACAGGGTGTCTCCTGTCCTGGGGTCCTGGGCAGATCAGACTCTTTTTTCTTTTTCTTGGCCGCGCGGCTTATGGGATCTTAGTTTCCCAACCAGGGGTTGAACCTGCGCGCTCAGCAGTGAAAGCGCGGAGCCCTAACCACTGGACCGCCAGGGAACTCCCCCCCAGACTCTCATTTATATGTTCGGTTTCTATAGAGATATTTGTGGCCTCTGGATCAACCCTCATTCCTGTGTCTGTGTTAATTAGCTCTAAGAAGTACTCTTAGGTCTGCTGCAGCCAACATTATCCAGAAGGGCTGGCTAATGATCCCTGGAGATGCCAGCGCTTTCTTCGTGTA